CTAATGTACTTTCTTGTACTTGTTACGGCTGTGATCATGCCTGATGTAGCCGGCCTCAATGATGTTACGGATGGTACCTCTACGTAGTATCGTAAGTTGGCATACTAATGAGGTTCCTTGAGGACATTGAATACAGGCAGGTCCCCAACAGCCGCTCGGATTTTTTGTCCAAGATCGTCTTGTCTCTTTGTCTCAGGAACCTAACCACAAGGCAGTTGTAATAAACAAACCTATTTAATGGCGGTTCACGCTCGCCATGTCACATTGCCGTCATTGGGACTTGCGGCATTTCATAAGGCAGTTGCTGCGCCAGACTTCAATCTTCCGCGCCCTGGTAACACTGTCGCTGCTGTGTGCGCGACTACTTATTCGCTAGACTCGGGAGCCTGCTTATTTCACAGCTAACCTTCGTTGAAGGCCGTGCCACTATCCGCCACCTGTAGACGCGCCAGGTAGCCAGCAGATAGGCTAACTGTTAACCCACATTTCCTGGAACCAATGGTTGCTTAACCTTGTGTGCTCTTCTACGCTATCTCTCCTGCCTTCTTATTGGAACGGCTTTATCATAGCCTCACCACCGCTTAACTAGCAACTTCATATCCTTCCACACCTATTCCAATGACTCCCTTGCACGAAAAGACGAGCGTAAGTTAACACACTTTTTAGCTTTGTCTCCGTTCCCGTACAAATGTACGAGCCGGTGAGAATTTATCTAAAACACGCTTATGCTCGCCAACTGGTCTTCTGCATTATTTTGAAATGTGGAAGTTGTTGCAATAAACACTTCTTACCGATGGATCTTCAGGACTTAATTGATACGGAGATAGGGGTTACGGTGCGCATGGAAAATCAATTGACTCCTTTTAAGACTTAACTCCAAAGTTACGTATCTTTGCATTTTAAGCGCAGATCGTAAGCAAATGAACTAGCAGCATCGATAGTTTAGGCCCGATTTTAAGATTTTTAGGTTAAAGCGCGCGCGCTTTCCCCCTCCCAGAACACCACAGTTCTCTTTTCGCTGCACGCCAATGTAAGGACGTCCTGGAAATAGTTTCTAATGCTCCTTTATTTTCTTCCTGAAGGGTGGCCGAGGCTCAAGAAAATCTCAGGGCAATAGAAAATAAACGGCGGGACCATGAACAGACGATTTCTAAGTCGGAGAGTATGCTGTCGGAACGGCGACTGGGGATGGACCAGCTCAATTCAAAGGTCAGTAGGCGTTTATCTTATTTACTAATGGAACAGCTGATCCTGGGTTATGGCCAAATTGAGTGATCCTGTTCTCCCCAACTTACTTTTTAGTTTTGAACTTGGAAAACCCTGGATTTGAAGGACAGTCTAGTCGTTCATTTATGATTTTAGATGATTTCAAGTTATTAAGCTTCGTAGACGCATAAATCGAAAACCGAGTTTTATTAAAATTGCGAACGGCTACCGTTGCTGGTCAATTCCTCGGAGCAAATCTCTTGAACCTTCCTTGAAATATTGTGATCACTAGCATGACGTTCGGTAGTAGGTCGATAAGATTTAGAAAATGTAGTGTTCTTAAGCGCCTAAATTACAGTTTTTTACCTTGCTTAACCAACCAACTTGCATAGAGATATCTACTCCTAGATAAAAGACCATGATACAGACATATAACACACAAACATCACAGCTACTTTAAGATTTTTTTATCGGTCAATAGTATGTGAAAATCCTTCGCTACGTTAAACCCTTCAATCTCTGACAAAGTAACTTACTTCAAATCCACTTGGATGCATTTGCTGAAACTTAGGGTTTTCCCATTGGCAGGAATTCTGGCCTGCAACTCGATACAGACAATAGCACCTAAATATGGGAAACGATGCTACAAGGTGCTCCGACTGGCTTCTAGACTTCAGGTTAAAAGAGAATCATGACCGAAGGATCCCATATCTTCCGTTGCTTTAGATATTTACAGAAGAAAATTTCGTAAGATTATATCGTGGGGTCGTATGGACAAAGTGTGAAGCGCGCCCCGCGG